TCTCTGTCTCTCTGTCTCTCTCTGTCTCTCTGTCTCTCTCTCTCTCTCTCTCTCTCTGTCTCTCTCTCTCTCTCTCTGCATTGGGGGGTGGGGGTTGAAGGTGGATCTCAGGATCTCCCATACCAGGCAAGCACTTGACTACTGAACTTCATTTCCAACCCCAGTTTTGACTACTATGTTGACTTTACAGTTGCAAAACCTAGGATACTAAATCTGCTTGATTTCTTAGTTTAGCAGATATACATGGTCAGGAGGAAAGAGCAAAAATAAAGAGCGCTCACAACTTGAGCAGACCATTGAAACTGTTAATATTTCGGTGACTTGTTTGTGTCTGAAAATTCTATTTAGAGAAAATTGAAAGTCATAGGTGGAAATGTTAGCAGGGCAGAGTATAAAAGGCTATAATTAGAATCATGCTCTTGTCCTTTGGAAATGTAGACAAGTGAGAAAAGTACTGTGATAAAATCAATTCTTCAGATTCCTGTAATTAATGTGTAGTGTTCAAGATTTAGAAGTTTGTAATATAAAATGAGGAAAGATGAAAAGTGAATAAATCAATATTCATTTAAAGTTTGGTTTTAAGTGATTAAAAATGAAGGAATAAGAGCATAGTGTTGATTTAAAAGTTGGTCTCTAAAGCGACAGCGAGAGGAGAAAACGGGGGAGAGTGTCCATAGTGACACAGAAGAGTCGTGTCCTTGAATCCCAGATCAGCCACCCAGCGTTCCCAGATGGAGGCCACGGCAGTCAGCTTACTGTTTCAGCTAGCCTTATCAGTTTCCTTGGCCACACAGAAGAAATTTTACAGCTTTTGCTATTCATAACTTTGCCTCCCATGGAGTAAGACCATGGTTTTGTAGCCAGCGTCTATTTGTCTTTAAAAAAAAAATCTTTACATTCTTTTTTTAAAATTTATTTTTATTTTATATGTATGCATGTATTGCCCGCATGTAGGTAAGTGCGGAGGTCAGAAGAGGCTGTCAGATCCCCTGGGACTGGAGTTACGGACAGCTGTTAGCTGCCATGTGGGTGCTGGGATTTGAACCTGGGTCTTCTGCAAGAACAACCAGTGTTTTTAACCACTGAGCCATCTCTCCAGCCCCAGATTTATTCTTTGAGAACATACCATGCATGCATACAATGTATTAATTATATCCACCCCATCCCACCTCCAACTCTTCCCTGGATTCCTAACAAGTCCCCTTCCCAAATGCCATGTCATCTTCCTTTCAATGCAACCCACTGACGAGTGCTGCCCATAGGCACATGAGTGTTTGACCATATACTGGAGGACTGGGAAGCTTAGCAGAGACCATGCCCCCAAAGAAAAATTACTCTTCCTCTCCCAACAGCCATTAACAGCCAGTGGCTACTTAGCTATGAGTGGGACCTCACGAGCCCCTCCCCCATCCTGGAATTTTGACTGGCTTGATCTTGTGCAGGTAATTGCTGTGAGTTCATGAGTGGGTTATGTCATGTGTGTAAGACAGCATTTAGCAGTCCTGCCCATCCTCCAGCTCATACCTTTTGCTATCATTTCTGCAGTGTTCTCCAAGCCCTGGAGGGGAGGATTGATACAGATGTGCCATTTAGGGCTCAGCACCCATAGTTACTTATTCTCAACACTTTGAATAGTTATGAGTGTCTACATTAACTGCTAACCACTGCAAAAAAAGAAGCTTCTCTGATGAAGGTTGAGAGCAGCACAAATCTATGGGTATAAACAAATCTTTGGAAGGCAGTTTGATAACATACTATTTAGGAATACAACAACAGTAAGTTCCCCACAAGGGCCTGTGGCCTCCTAAGCTCTGAACTTATGATCAGGTTTATGGTATCAGGCTTGAATTCCCTACTGTGAAGCAGGCCTCAGATCCACCTGGAAAGCAGTTGTTTACCCCCATTACAGTCATGCTATTGCACCAGTGGGTACATCATGGCAGGTTGTTACAGCATTGTGGGGTCCAGTGTCGGGTAGATCATTGACATCTTTGTTCCCACAGTGGCCTGCATAGCACCTTTTGGCACTATGAAAGCTAGCTACCAGGGAGGTAGTTTCCTGGTCAGTTCCATATTGATTTCATGTTCTGCAGCCAAAGTATGTGGTGTCTTCAGCAGTAGGATCTTGCTGTGTAGTTATGGTGGGCAATAACAATAGCTTGTGCTGTTTTGGGTGCCTCTGGGACCTCTGTGACCATGGGAATAGCAATGGGTACCTCTGTTCAAATTATTTTTTCTTTTAAAAAATTATATATATATAATATATGTACATATATCAATTTAAAAATAAACCTAAGATTCACCCTTCCATCCCCCCCCCTCGCCGTTCTATACTCCTAGTTTGAGCCCTGCGCCACTCCTAGTCTTGGGGCCCCAGACACCTGGGGAACCAATACTGCTTCCT